CCATAGTGCTCCCGGTGATGGCGCGGCGGTTTGGCCCCAGGGGAATCGTCCGCTTCCTGCTTATGCCAATGTGTCTGTGACAGCAACGCTCCTGAAACCCTTCAGGAGGAAATATTGGAACGTCTAATTAAAGAGCAGCATTAAATATAGAAGTGTGCACTTTTTAAGAGGCTTTTTTTTTTTTAATTTTAGCTTTTATTGGCTATTTAGGAGAATGACTTGCACGTGTAAGGCAGAGAAAGTGGAAAAATCTGTGAGCCTTTGGAGAAGTCTCCATAAATATCTGTACACATTGGGAAAGGCTTTTTGTAGGCACGAGTTATTTTTTTGTCTTACCCTTACAATGACCTGAAAAATATGAGGAACCCTCTTGCCATTCTCCAGCAAGTCCTAATGAGTGTCCGGCGGTCATCTTTGGGGACGGCCCCTTCAGCCTTGGTCATCAGTCACATCTTCACAGCACATGGCTTCATTTTGCAGCTGTAAGATGTCACTGTGCTCACGTCGGCCACAGGGAAGGTGGAGGTAAACCCCTGCTCAAGGTATGTGCCAACCCCCCGCCAGAGCCTTTCGTTAGAGCTTTATATAAACCCGAATGCACAGAGCAATTTCTGCTTCCTCACAAGTGTTGTTTTTAATTTCTATTTTTCAAGCCTGAATTTATTCAAGCCCAGCCTATACTTACTCATTTTTTCCTAAGCCAGTATTTTACCTGTTCATAGACCCCCCTGTTTTATCTGTACAGTTACATCCCTTCTCCGCTTTTATACTTTAAAGCACGTCAAACCGCTCTGGTCCCCTCTCCCAGAGGACTTCCCTGCCTGCTTATCCCAGCAGCCGTGCCCTCAAACCCGGCAAGGTTCAATCAATCTTTCTGGGTGCTGACAAGGACCGTACAGAGGATATCAGATGGGTCTCACCAGGAACTTGTGCAGCGATGCTAACATTTCTCACGCTCAACCAGACCTACTCCTCCCGCTGTGTTTTAACGCCACATTTATCTTCGCCGCCGGGGTGTCACGTTAGTGCTTGCCAACTCGTGCAGGCAAGTTCCCCTACACATAACCGATTTCCAAATACGCAGTTCCCAGCATCACACAGACATCTCAGCTCCTCTTAACCCACAGTGCATCATCCCATGTGTTGCACAGCCCAAGTTCATCCCATCTGCCCGTTAACTTCTGGAAGGCATGAGCCTGGGCTGCACTGACACCACCAAGGATGCTGAGAACTGACGGACTCAAAAATCCGTTGCTTTCCTTTCAGACACATTGTGGTTTTCAACCAAAAGCGTCTGAAGCATTTAATTGCTCCATGTTTCATCCGAGAAGGGATCGTTGCCAGCTCAACCTTGCTGACACCAAGACTTGCACCAGGTGCAGAACGGACATTGTGAACTTGCTCCAGTGCCAGCAAAACGACGTGTCAAACGAAGCCAAGGCCAAGGCGGTGGCCATGAAGACCCATCGGGGTTTCCCTGGGGCTGCCCAGCCATCGCAGTGGTCACAAAGGAATGCGTTAGGAGCGATTCCGCGTGTTGGCATAAAACAATATATGGGAATCCATGCACACAAAGACAAGAAGAGAAAAGCAGCTGATGCCTGTTTAGGACTATTTGAGTTTTGAGGCTGATTTGGATTCTTGTCCCATTAGTCACATTACTCGGGATTTAGCCCTAATTAACTAGCTGTTCCTCAGACACGTTGAAACAAAAGAGGCGGAAAAAAGGAAAGTAAGTAGTCTCATCATCTTATCTGTAAAAAATGAAGGTTATAAAGCTGACTTAATGTATTATATGTCAAAAAATAATGCCCTGATGTAGCAAAGTCATTTATTTTTCAGCCTTCAGACCAGCTAATGAGAACTTTCCCACCTTCCAGCTGGGTTGAAAGCTGTAACCTTGATTGGTACCACTGTTATTTTATTTAAAGAACACTTCTCCATTCACACAGCTGAACTTTATCCTCCTGCAAACTGTTTACTCACAATTTTAGTGCATATGGTCAAGGAAGACTTTCAAGACAGTGCAAGAGCAAACGCACAAACCCACAACACCCCCAGCATCCCGCTCGGGCAGAGGAGCTGCAGTGTGGACCACACTCCTGCCAACTTAACCTCAGCCCGGCCACTGGTCTCCTTCTCTCCATGAACAAGCAACGCAGCTTTTGGGAACCCTGAGGAGATGCAGAAGCTGAAGGACTGACCACAGAGGCACAGCTCAAGATCTCCACTGCTCCTCCGGCTCACATTGCACCCGAGGACAGTGGGTCTCTGGAGGAAAGCCAGCTGCCTGGAAGAGCCAACTCAAGTCAAACACAAGAAGACTCCTTGGGAGCTGGAGACCACCACAAACTTCCCACTCCCACAGCAAAATACACCTTTGGGTCTGCCTTCTCCAGCATACACAAGAACCCCACAATGAACACCAAAAAGCTACGTCCCAAGCAAAGAGGAAAACGTATGAACCTTGCAGGTTCTCCTCCTCTGGCCAGGATGATGAAAGCTCAGACAGGTACGGGGAGGTACCAGCCCCGCTGTGTAATGTACCACATAGCCCCTGTCGCGGTAAAACCTCCTACAGCACAAGACAGACCACACAACAGCAGGTCTTGCCTAAATCCTGGGATGTCTGGGAACACTGCAATATATTTTTAACATATTTCTTTATGTTGCCCTTGGCTTTTAGAGAGGTGTCTCTTGACCTCACTCAGAGGTCTCTGACCTCTCCTGGGGCTTGCTCGAGAGCAGGGTCTCCACGGCAGTGCCAACCGTACAGGTGGGGACAAGGAAATGAGCCCACCACCCTACTTCACAAGCAGCACACTTGATTTGTTTTCACGGGCTTTCGGGCATTACCTGGGGGGTTGTTACTAGGAATATGCTGTACTCACGTAACATGAGGAGGCCCCAGTTGCAACGTGGATTCGTTCAGCTTGGACTTGCCAAAACAGATGGTAAGAGGACAGTTCCTGTCCTGAAAAAACCTAAATCTAAACATAGCGGACAAAGATCAAAACTAGGATGTGTTACAGCTGTTACAGGCAGAGAGCAGAAGAATTTTGGCACCTAATTCTTACTTCAGCAACGCTCTCTGGGGATATCACCTTGAAGAAACTCACTCAGCATCACATCAGGAATCTTGCAGCAGAACCTGAAACAGGACCCAAACCTCCCAAGTACAAATCCAATGTCTTAAATGACAAAAGTCCTCCTTGAAAAACCTGCGTGCCCAAACACTGGTCCCCAGAGCTGCCCTATAGTTTGTCCCAGAGCATCCCCATCCAACATGACCTCTCCTTCCCTGAAACACGCTCACTGTGGTGCTTGCTCTCCCGCTCAAAAGTAAGAAGTGGTCTCCCAAAATACTGTTCCACAATGCAAACACCAATAACTCATGCACAATTTCGCTCTGAGGACTTTCAGCCAGTGTTCTGTTAAAAAGATGTATGTTTTCTCATTAAAACATGTCATTTCGTATTTTATATGATTGGTACCATTTTATAAAATAGGGTGATTTGCAAGTTACAATTTTCAAAACCCCAGCAGGACTTTTCAGTAACAGAGTGAGATAATCTTAAAAAAATGAGAGATCTGATCAATCGCAGTAAGTAACAAAAGTCCTAACTATTATTTAGTTAAAAAAATAATTACTTATTTATCCTGAGTTGGATAATTATCCAGAATTATGAGGGGAAAAAAGTATTTAAATGTGAATTACATACACGTGTTAGAGCCTTGAACATACCATGTTGTATTCGAGGTTTAGTGCTCCCCCTTTGACCTGAATGTGATTCAGTTCAACGCGTATTAATCAGGTTGTATTCATTAACACACTTCTCACTTAGCTACTTTGTTAGGAAACTCTGATCCTTTTCTGATGTGACTTGCCTCACGCAATTGCAGTAATATTAAGAAAATAGTTCTGCACTTTGCCACTTCTGCCGAGGCTCGGTTTACAGCTTTGTACGGAGCGACTGGGTGGTCCACGGGAGGTTTTTTTAGTAGTGATTCACCTCTCTTTATTGCTTGGAAGTCAGAAGCAAGATCTCTTATTTCCACCAGCCCTTAAAAATCAGGGGATTCAAAAATAATACAAATTCGGCGTTTTCTGGTCCGTGGGTGGAACCATGAACCTGACACATTTTTAACTTCAGTTATTCTGACCGAGTCTCGATTCCCTCGCCAGCCGCTGTGACTGCTGCCCGGGCACCGGCCGTGGATTCACACACGGGTTCATGTGATACCTGCCCGAGGGGGGCTGAGCACTGTGAACCCCTCAGCTTTGCAAAAATAAACCTCAAAGGAACTCCCGCTTCAAAGCCAATTAACAGGCAAACAGATAATTTTTCAAACATGCCCACGGGTGCCTGTCCTAGCAAACGGTTTTGCAGCCGTTTTTGCAGGAGGTGTATGGTATTTGATTGATGTGTCCAGCCAGCATTAAGGGTGAAGCTTTGTCAGCTGAGCAACTGGTGTCTTCCGCAGCACTGATCCTGCCAGCGCAGCATTCCCCGGGTTAGCGGATCCTTTGCGATTCAAAGTATCTGCCTTGGCAGGCAGCACACATTTACCTAAATCCCTCCTTTTCTGCGTGAAACCTCCTAAGCCTCCGTGTCCTGCTCTTCCTGCCCCGGCAAAGCGGAGTCGTGCTGATTCCTGGCGGGAAGTTCAATTTAACATTAATTTCTCAGGGCAGTGAGGGCAGAGATGCCTGATCACCGCATGCTCACCTCCTGCCCTGGGAACTGAA